ATTCGTTTTTGGGGGCACAAAAGGGCGACAGCGGGGCCAAGGAGGGCAGCAAAGGGGCAACGAAGGGCAGCGAGAAGGCCACGAAGGGCGACAGCGGGGCTACGACGGGCATGCGTGCGGTTGCAAGGAAGCTCAAACCGAGAGCGCGATTCTCCAAACTGTGGGGAAGTATCAGGCGGGAGCCGCGATTCGGTGGTAAATTGCAAGGAAGTCCCAAGCGAGAGCGCGATTCTTCAATACATTGTAAGGAATTATCAGGCGGGACCCGTTGTTGGCGCGGGCCACGACGGGCGCGAACGAGCGGGGGCCCCGAAGGCCATATGTATAGGGGGCCGCAAGGGGCAGCGACGGAGCCGCTAAAGGCAGAAACGGGGCCACGAAGGGCAGAGAGGGGGCCACGAAGATCGACAGCGGGGCCACGAAGGGCATGCATATGGGGCCACGACGGGCGCGAACGAGCGGGGGCCACGAAGGGCTTACATAGATGGGGCCAGACACAGGGCCACTGAACGCAGGAAGTGGGCCACGAGGGGCAGCGAGGGGGGCACGAATGGCGACAGCGGGGCTACGAAGGGCATGCGCACGGGACCACGAACGGCGCGAGCGAGCGGGGGCCACGAAGGGAAATTAATCCGGGACCACAAAGGGCAGCGACGGGGCCGCTGAGGGCAAAAACGGGGCCACGAAGGGCAGAGAGGGGGCCACGAAGGGCGACAGCGGGGCCACGAAGGGCATGCACATGGGGCCACGACGGGCGCGAACGAGCGTGGGCCACGAAGGGCATTCGTATATGGGGCGGGCCACAAAGGGCGACAGCGGGGCCACTGAGGGCAGCAAAGGGGCCACGAAGGGCAGCGAAAGTGCCACAAAGGGCGACAGCGGGGCTACGGAGGGCATGCGTATGGGGCCACGACAGGCGACTGCGAGCGGGGGCCACGAAGGGCATATAATGTGGGGCCACAGTGGGCAGCGACAGGGCCACTGTGGGCAGTGACGGGGCCACGAAGGGCAGCGAGCGAAGGCGACCGCAGAACCAACACGGGCAGCGAGGGGCGTCGAAGGCGGGCGAAGGGCAGCGAGCGGCGACTGCAGTCCCTAACGGGCTGGTCGGGCGGGCAGGCCCAGACGGGCGGGTCGAGCGGGCGGTTCGTTGAAGCGTAAATTTTGTTTGAACCGCCAGGCAATATGTAGCGGGAGCGCGATTCCTGAGTGTCGAGGAGCGGCATCTGCAGACATTGTAAGGAAGTATCAGGCGGGAGCCGCGATTTGGTGGCAACTTGCGAGGAAGTCCTAAGCGAAAGCGCGATTCTTCAATAAATTATAAGGAAGTGTCAAGCGGAAGCTGGATCCGGTGGTAAATCGGCAGGAAGTCCGAAGCGAGAGCGCGATTCTTTAATACGCTGTGAGGAAGTATCAGGCGGGAGCTTTTGTTGTTGTTGTCGTTGTTGTTGATGTTGTTGTTGTTGTTGTTGTTGTTGTTGTTGTTGTTGTTGTTGTTGTTGTTGTTGTTGTTCTAAACCGGGGGCCAACGACACAGTTTGACCCTAAAGAGTTTCCCTGGCAACAAACAGGGTGCGGGCCCCGGGCAGGACACTTCAATCGAAAAAACAATGTGCACCGGACGGGGGGATCAACAATAATCATTATTCATACATGCGGGCTCAACAACAACAGCAACAACAACAATCATGTTAAGGCCGTTCGCCCTTATATGTTCGAGTGTCCAACAACGCGTATTTCCCAAACCCTCGATACCCGCCCTTTTCGTCTTCGATCGAACCCCTTTTGGGGGGTATACTTTTCTTCCCTGCAGGCCGGGCCCCGGCAAGCGGCGGGGCGGCCGCGGACCGTCGGCCTGGCCAGCGGCAGCGCTGATCGGCGGGGCGGCCGCGGACCGTCGACCCGACCCCAAGAGGGACGGACAGGGGACCGACCACGACGACGACGACGACGACGACGACGACGTCGAAGACGACGGCGACGACGAGCGAAAGCGAGAGCGAGAGAGAACGACAGCATGGCCACGACTGGGACGAAGTAGGCCACAAAGGGCGACAGCGGGGACACGAAGGGAATGCGTATGGGGCCACGAAGAGTGCGAACGAGCGGGGGCCACGAAGTGCAGATAATGCGGGACCACATAAGGCAACTATGGGGCCACTGAGGGTAGCAGCTGGGCCACGTAGGACAATGAGGGGGACACAAATGGCGACAGCGGGGCCACGAAGGGCACGCACATGGGACCACAACGGGCGCGACTCCTGGATGCCTGGGTGTCGGGAGCGCGGCGCTTGGGCAAATTGCAGGAAACCCCAACGCAGGGCTAGTCTTCAGTAAGTTGCAAGCAAGTCTCCAGCGAAAACGCGACTCCAGAGCTCCAGAAGAGCGATTCCTGAAGAAATTGGAAGGAAGTCCCAAGCGAGAGCGCGATTCCTGCATAAAATGCGAGGACGTCTCGGGCGGGAGCGGGGGTCCTGCTTAAATAGTAAAAAAGTCTCAGGCGGGAACCGTTGTTGTTGTAACCCGGGGACCAAGGGCCCAGTTTGAGCAGGAAGACTTTCCCTGTCAAAAAACAGGGTGCGAGCGTCAATGGCACACTTTGATTGAGAAAGAACAGTATGACCCGGTGGGGGGGGATCAACAATAATTATTCTTCGGAAATGAGAATTCAACCACAACATTAACAAGTTTAACAACAACAACAGCAACAACAACAGCAGCAACAACAACAACAACCACAACAACAACCACAACCACAACCACAACCACAACCACAACCACAACCACCACCACCACCACCACCACCACCACCACCACAACCACAACAGCAACAGCAACAACAACAACAACAACAGCCACAGCAACAGCAACAGCAACAGCAACAGCACCAGCCAAACAAGCAAACACGCAAGCACACAAACAAACACACAAGTATTATATATGTATATATATACACAGCCAACAACCACAATCATCCTCATGCGCGCAGAGACAGTGGATGACCGCTCGGCCCCCTCAGTCTGATGGGTCCTCCAGGTGTTCGGCCAGTGGCCGCCACCCCCCCCTCCCTCCTGCTGCGCAGGGCGGGGTCCATCCCCAGGCCCGCCCCACCACGCGCGGCGACTCCGTAGGCCTGGGAGGAGGGGTGCGCGCGGAGGGGCCGCAGTCCCCAACGGGCAGCGTGCGCTCGTTTGCACCCCCCGGAAGGGAAGCCGGGGGAGGGCGGACAGGGGCGGGGGGGGACGGGGGGAAGAGGAGGGGGGGTGGGCGGGAAAGGCGCGAGGTAGACGTGGGAGGCAGGGGCAAGGAGGGGAGGGTGTGGGGAGGATGCGGGAGGGAGGACGAGGGAGGGAGGATGGGGGAGACGGGAGGAGGCAGGAGGGAGGAGGGGAGGGGGGAGGAGGCAGGGACAGGGGAGGGTGGGACGGGGGACAGGGGACGGCGTAAGGGGCGGGGAGCCGGAAAGATGGTGAAGGGTTCGGGTGTCGCCCAAGCGTCCAGTGTCTTCTCCGGAGGGGGCATTTCTGACAACGCATCAGTGCGTGGTGCCGATTTTTTTGGGGGGTCAGGGCAGGGGTGCCCACCAAACAGTAGCTAAACAACCTTTGCCAGTGCAGCCCCCACACACACAGCAGTAGGTGCTCGCACCCCCGATGTGCAAGTTGCATGGTGGAGAATCACACGGAACCGACCATAGAGCAGCATTCCTATAGGGAACCGTGGTGCGCTTGTCACACGGCACCCACCATACAGCACCATGCTACGGCACCCACCGCATGGCACAGTTCTTTCACAGGACATCCGCGCGCGACTTGCCCCACCGTTTCCTGAGAGCCAAGATCCCAAGTCATGGCCCATGCGTGCAAACAGTGCGTGGGGAAACGTCAGGCACCATAAGGCATAGGGCATTAGCCACAGAGCACTCACCGCACGGGTCCAGATGACACCAACCGCAGGACACCAAATACTAGTAGGGCGGCATACCTTGGCATTAACGACCAGTTGATTACGACGCCTCAAGTGCAAGGATTTGTTAGTAAACACTGCGTCCAGCCACACCAGGGGGGCACAGTAGAACACCATGTGTGATTGGCACTTCCTGCTCTTGCCAGTGCTCTGCTTCGTCATGTCTCCAAGCATTGCGGGTGTGATGGATTTGTTCGTCGCGTCGCCCGCCCCTTCATTCGCCTTACCCTAGCAAGCGGCACCAGCTTGCCATGTGCCCGCGCCATTCCCACACACCCTCCTCCATCCTCCTGCCCTTTCTCTGTCTCCATTTCTTCGCCCTATCCCCATGTCTTCTCCACCTCCTCCTCCTCCTCCTCCATCTCCCACCGCTGCTGTGGCTTCCCTCCTCGTCGACTCTCCACGAAGGCCGCATCCCACCGCTGCTGTGGCTTCCCTCTTCGTCCCATCAAGCGGATGCTGTCTTCTCCTCCCACAGCCGTCCCCGATATTTCGGGTCGGCGGAGTGGGAAGGCGGGAGAGAACAGGGAGGGGGCGGGGGGGGGCGGAAGGAGGCGAGTGGAGAGTGCAAGTTGGGTGCGTTCGTGCCATATTTGACATCCGACCCCTCCCACCCATCCCTTCCCTTGTCGCTCTTGTTTTCTACATCCGCCGTCGTGTGCAATAGCGGACCTTGAGTTCCAGAATGGAAAACCCATCGTGCCATGCGCAATCGGAAAAAGAAGAGTTGCGTGTATTGGAGGAGGAGGAGGAGGAGGAGGAGGAGGAGGAGGGCAGGAGGAAGGGCAAGAGGTTGAGCAGGAGGATGAGCAGGAGGAAGTGGAGGAGGAGGAAGAAGGAGGAGGAAGAACAGCAGCAGCAGGAGCTGCTGTGGGAAAAGCGGGATGAGCAGGATGACCAGTGTCAGGCGGGGGAGGGGAAAGAAGCTGGACGACAACGACGAGGAATCACTCGGATCTGGAAAAGTGGCCCACGAAGAGGCGAAAGCGCAATTCTGAATTATTGACGAATTCGGAAGGGCCCCAAACCAGAAGGTTGGAGCGAGGACGCCAGGGGATACGAGCTCGCCTGTGCTTTCCCCCGCACGCTGTTTGACGGCACCATCACCGACGACGGAGTCCCACCTGGTACCACCTGGAGTGGCAAGCGTTGGGCTGCAGTTTGCATGGTACGTCGCCTCGTCCAGAAGGGACAATATGCCAGAACGGACGCACCTCGCAAGGACACCGACCCTGGCCACCACCGCACCAGCACGCTCGTTGACTGGCTTGCCAGCCTCTACCCGTCGGTGCTCACAGACGACGCAGTGGTGCAAAGCGAGTTGGACGCCACTGGGGTGGACCCGGTGCCGACGCCGAGCGGCTCAGACGAGCCTCCACGGGCTGATCCTTCTCCCCGTGCCCAGGCCAGGACGGGCGACGGAGCAGTGACGGACACAGCACTTGGTGACCAGGCGGAGCGCCTACGACCACAGCACACGCTTGGGGAAGACGCCGAGTCGGGCCAGGCGACGAAGCCAAATGCTAAACAGGCAGCTACCACGGACGACGACACGAGGCCGGCGGACCCGGACAACTCGGTTGATTTCGGCGATGGCATCCAGGGCTCAGAGACTGAGGCACCGCCGATGAGTCCCGAGCCGCCAGCTGACTCCCCCCCCCCCCACCAGCGGGAAGATTCCACCTCGCATTGTCAGAATGAGCGCCTCCGACAAGGCCGTCGGCAGCCACGACCCTGCCGATACAAGGAAGCCGGTTTCACCCCCAGGCTCCTGGCGACCACAGCAGGCAGTGGGGTCGCGCCACAGGCCAGCCTGGGCTCCGACAGTGGGTTACGGCAAGGGACGCGACCGTCCGCCACAGAAGCCTTACGAGCAGGACCAACGAAGCGGGACGCGCACGCATAGTCCCGCAAGCATCGGACGGGCCGACCACAACTCCAGCTGGAACGCGCGCGACGACACGCGCGCGCGGTTACACCAGGTCGAGTCGCTCACAAAGCAGCCGCGCCAGCGGGAGGTGGCCTCGAGGCGACTGGAGCGACAGAGCCACCAACCCACTCACGAAGACCGACCGCCGCTCCCGCGACGGCAGCCAAATGTGCAAGACGCCCACGCACCTCGTGGAAACACAGGGCAGGGACGAAGACAGCCGCCAGTTCATTCAGAGGATGCAGACTGAACCCGGTGCCGCGTTTTCACGAGGTCTGGCACCGTTGGGCAGAGCAGCATGAACCTCGCCCGGGCTTCGCCCCCATGAACCACCTGGTGCAGAGCTGGCGTGCCTGCGAAGATTTCCTGGACGCTTGGCGCCGCTGCAAGTACGACGTCTACGAGCTCGATCGTCTCCTGGGGCTCAATGCCAATTTTGGGCATGTCTGACAAGAGCACATGACGAAGGATCGGGGCGACGCCGGGCGACCAGGCAAGGGCCACGACTGCGACACGTCCGACACGCGCAGCGGCAAACAGGGCAAACGCAGCTACGATTGGGACGGACCCCTGCCAGAGACGAGGCGTCGGCAGTAGGTCCCACCAACTGCGCATTCGACTGCACAACCCAGCATAACCCAGCATGCAACAGGTCATGCCACAACGGTTTTGGCGGCTTCTCCTCTCGTCTACTTCGCTATACGTACGTTTGTCCTTCAGCCTGCTGCTCCACTCCTTCTCCTGGCCTGTGTCCTGTTGTCTTCCTCTCGTGCATTTGCAGCGATCAGCTGCCGCGCCTTCTGGATATTCTTCCTTCTGTCGCCCCCCCTCTCCTGCCTCGTTTTCTGGGGTTCTCCTGTACTCGGTTCCGCTGTCTATGATTATGCGGCGATCAGCTGCTCCTGGGGTTCGCCATCGCCTCTCATCATTTCCTCCGTGGTCTTGCAGCGGTCAACTGCCGCTTCTCATCGCCCCTTGTTCCCTGCGTTTGCAACGATCAGCCGCCATCCCCCCTGCCTCGCCTTGTCCTGGGGATACTGTCTGGCAGGTGCCTCTCGAGGTCCTGCCCTGCGCTGGCACTTCGGCTGGCGCCTAACACTCTGGGCCCCCTGTAGCCCAGGCCGCTGGCGCCCGCCCTGCTGCCGCTCAGGGCGGCGGCCTCCGCGGGGCCCTTGTTCCCGGCGTTGCTCTCCTGGTCGCCCCTTGGTTGGCGGCCCCCCACGAATTGCCGCAGCTGCTGCCAGGCCTGGGCGTCGGGCGGCTGGCGCGCTGCAGCTATGCGCGCGGCGGCGGCGGCGCGCCCCCTGTTCCCCGTCGGCGTCATGGCCGCAAGGGCTCATGGCGACGATATTCGGCATGGACTCGCTGCTGTCTAAGTCAGGGACCCTCGTCCGCTGAAGGCGCTCGTCGGCTTGGTCTCCCTGGCGACACTCATTGCGGGCGGCTGGCCGCTGGGCTGCCGGCCGCCCGCCGCGCCCCGCCCGGGATACCCGCTGCGGCGGTGGTTTACTCGTCTTCCTGGCGCCGCGCGCTCATGGCACGGGGCGCCCTCCTGCGCGGCTTCGCCGCGCCGGCCACTACAGCTGCCTCCAGGTCTCGGCGTGCTGGGCGCCCTGATGGTTGGTCGCGCTGCTCGTGGCTTCTGAGTCCGCGCTGCCCCTGCGTGGGGGGCCTTTCAATTCCTCGGGGGAGCTCCCGGAGCGGCCACAGCCCGACCGCCCTCCCATTCTACCTCGCGGTGCTTGTCCCCCTCGCGTCGGCTATCATCTGCGCGCTCTGCACGGTACCTGGAGGCCGTTTACCTCCACGACGTTTGCCTCTTACCCCGCCGTTCCTTGGCCGTCTCGGAGGCGCTCCCGCGTTTGCTGGCTCGCTTGCTGTTCCACGCCGCGAAGACCTTCCTGGTCCAGGTCCTCGCGTTCGGCAAGGCGCTTGGCCACTTCTTTCTCTCCCCTGCCCACCTTCGCCGTCGGGCCGCTTTTTTTCTCCCCTGGCCACCGCCGTCCGGGGTAAGCGTGGCGCAGTCGGACATCCACTCGTCGTAGTCGTCGTGTTGGACTGCCTCATTTACGTCTTCCTGGGTGCCGAGCCCGCGTCTGCGCCGGGCGTTGCCTCGTTCTGCTGTCCCCGACGGCTACGGCGCGGCCTGCCCTAGCTCTGCCCGGCTTTCGACCCGCTTTGCTAGCCCGCGTGCCACAAGGCATCCCCACCAGCCCGTTTACCTCCACGGCACTTGTCGTCTCTCTTACTCCGCCGTTCTCGTCCGTCTCTGAGGCGTTTTCGCTGCTCCTGCTGGCTCGCTTGCTGGTCCACGTCGCCAAGACCTTCCGGGTCCAGGGCTTCGCGTTCGGCAAGGCTCCTGCGGAACATGGTTTGGCCGCTTCCCTATCTCTCCTGGTCAGTCCGGGCAAGCGTGGCGCAGTCGAACTCCCACTGGTCACGGTCAACGGGCCGGTCTGCCTTTTCCCACGTCTTGTTGGGCGTTGAGCCCCCGTCTGAGTTGGGCGCTGCGCCGTTATCTGTTTCCTGTTGCTTCGGCGCGTCCCGTCCTAGCGTTGCCCGCTTTTCAACTTGCTTCGCGAGCCCGCGTGCCAAGAAAATATCACCGCTTGCCCATCCAGTAGCGATGTCCAGGCGAGTTGAGGTGATCAGGGAAGCGCGGGAGCAAAGAGGGGGACGGCCGAACCGCGCTAAGGAGGAAGGAGGAGGAGAAGGAGGCTGGATGGATGGATGAGGGAGTGGGGAGAAGGAAAATGAATAGGAGGAGAAGGGGGTGGAGGAGGAGGAGGAGGAGGAGGAAGACGCGGAAGAGAAGGAGTAGGAGGAGGAAACATGAACAGGAGGAGGAGGGCAATCAAAAGGGCCAGAGTTCCCTTGGCTGCCTCTCGGAGCCTCTTGGGGTATCTCTTGTGCGTTCTGGGGGGGCCCATTGGGACGTTTTGGGATCTCTTGGCGGTCCTGGGATGTTATTGGGCGTCTTGGGTGCCTCGGGGGGGCCTCTTGGGCCGTTTGGGTCCTCTTGGGGGCATCCTGGGGGCCTCTTCGGGGCCTCTTGCGGCAACTGTGGGACCATATTGAGGCATCTTGGGGTTTCTGGGCGCGTTTCGCCCTCCCTACACATAAGTAACACCCGAACCTGAGCATCGTTGGATGGACAGCCATTGCGAACCGAAGCCGACCCCAGGTGCGCGACGTGTGGGCGACGTGCGCCACGCGTGCCTGGGGCGCCACGCGCGCCAGGCACCCCTGGGGCCCGATCGTGCCGTGTCAAGCACGCGTGGAGCGCCAGATGCGCACGTGCTCCGAATGCGCCATATGTACCGCACACTCCAGCCGCGCCCGGTGCGCCGCGTTCAGGTCATGTGCATAGTGTGTCAGGTGCGCCTGCGGACGTGACAGCACACATCGGGAAACATGTCGGCCCCCGCCACCCTTGTCGAAAGCCGATGCCCATCATTGTGTCTGCTGGACCTGAGCACAGCAGGCCATGCGCCGCCAACCCCGCCGCCCCTGTCAAAAACCACGTGGCAGTGATCGCGGGATGGCCGCGTATGATCCAGATGTAGCCGCGAGTTGCATGCTGTTTTTTGTCTGGGATGGTAGCGCTGCGCAAGGCAGGGAGTATGCTGACACCCCCGCCGTCCTTGTCCAAAACAATACGAAGTGCTCGCGGGCCTCACGAAAATGACTCAAGACTTTCCCCGACATGTACTTTGCACTGTTGTCTGGCAGGGATTGGGGGTGGGGGCGCATCGGGTTGGCCGCGCATGTTCCAAATGTGGAGGCAAAGTGCGGTTTGTACGGTTTGTTTGACAAGGATGGTGGGGGGCGGGTGGCCATGGTGTCGGCAGGTTGCTTGGCTGGCCCCCGGTCGCGTGGGGGAGGGGGTGTATACTTAAAAAGAACAGTGAGAAGCCCCTCCCCGAAGGGGAAGAAGGGAGTTGGAAGAGTAAACGCCCTAGACCACCTTACACCGTAAAGGGCTGGTGGGACTATGGAAACAAAGCGCCGATCCGAAAATGAGGTCCAAGCTGCAGCGGCAGCACCGCTGCGAGACACAGAAAACGTTCCGATTGAAAACAACCCCGGAAATAGAAACCTTTGAAATCTTGTGTGTGAAGACAGTACGCGTAGAGGGTCGTTCCCTTCCCCGGCCATCTTCAGGGCAGAGAACAGAGCAGTACTCATATTGAGTAACTGTGGTGGAAAGGAGGGGGAGTAAGGGAGGCGTGGGACAAACGCGGGGATGGCGTGAGGCAGGAGAAGGGCCATCCTGGTTCGCTTCACTCACGGTGCACAGTGGGGCACGTAGATCCATGTGGGCGCCCCATTTTCGATGCGCCCTTTCCTCTCTGCATCGGCCAGCGCTGCCAGGAGAAGACGTGGTTCCGCGCCGTGGCTGAGATGGTCGGGATTTGCTATTCTTCCGTGAAGCGCACAAGCGAAACGTATTGTCAGCGGTTTGCGGTCCCGCAAGGCGTAGTGCTGTCAGCGGCTGGTGACTAGTGTTGCTAACAGGCTTCGTTGCTGTCGTATCCTCTCCACGCGGTGCGTATCCCCCTGCCCCTAGACGCGCGCGCGCGGGTTTGGGAGCATGAGAAGTACCACCAGGAGAGAAGAAGGGAGCCAGGCAGGAGGGAGGCAGTAGGAGGAGGAGGTGGGATGAGATGATGAAGGGCGTAGGAGGATCAGGAAGGAGGGGAGGCAGGGAGGAGGCAGGGAGTGAGGCAGTGTGGGGGCAGGTTGAGGGAAGACAGGAGGACCCCCGTCGTCCCACGCACGCGCGATGTTTGTCGCCGACTCCTTCGGAGACGCGCGGGTCGGTGGGTGGTATTCCCCACGGGCATCGGGTCGTCGGCCTCAATCCGCGGGGCAGCTCCAGCGCCGTCGGTCTCCGCGACGGCGCGTCTTCGAGGATCGAGGGCCGATGATTCAGGTGCCCGAGTGTGTGTTGGCCCCGCTTGTGGGCCTCGGTGGGGGTTCCTGAGGCTTTCGGGGCCCTCCGGATGGAGGCCCCAAGAGGCTTTTGGAGACCCCCGTAGCCATTTTGGCTCAAGACGGGAACTCCTCCCCGTCCCGACTCCAGAGGCTCGAGGCCGGGGCGGAAGGGCAGCCCCTTACCAGGCCTGGCAGTCTCGGTCCAGGTGTCGACCAAGTAGGTAGGCACAACCCTCGCTTGGTGCGATCTTTTGGGCCACGTCCTTTTTTCCTTGCCCCTTCGTCAGTCATGGGCGGACGGCGGCACCGCCGCCGCGAGCAGCGCAGCCTGACCCCAGCCAGCAGGTCCCGCCGCCCCAGCCGCTCGTCCTCGCCTCGGACACCCTCGGATTCGCGCAGTCGCAGCGACCGCGACGTCCGTGATGCTGCTAGGGCCCCGTCGGCACCCCCCAGCTGGATGACAGCACGAATTTCGGATATCAAGCAGAACAATACTCGTCTGGAGCAAATGGAGATGACGATGGTCACCCAGATCTCGGGCATGCGTGAACGTATTCAGGCCCACGAGGGCAATATCGCCCAGTTGGGTCATCGTCTTCAGACACTCGAGCAACTTCAACACGGGGTTCTGGACGACACGGTCCAATCGGTTCTCGGTGAAGTGGTTGTTGGGAAGTTGGCAGGCATTCAGACGCAGCTTGATCAACTTCAAGCCGCTGAACCTTCAGCGACGGTGAAAGATCGAGTGGGCACTCTCGCGTATCAGCTTCAGCAGCTGCAAGCCAAGGAGTCGCGCTCGTCGCGCGGCCAGCCATCGTCGCAGAGTTCAGGGTCTCGTGAGCAGGAAGGTTCATGCAGATGGATCCTCGTCGGATTCGACTCCCCCCTCATGGGGCGCACCCTCCGACGCGCTGCGGAATATGTTTGCGACCAATGCGTTCCCACCTCTGAGCGGGATTCCATTGTGATTAAAGCCTTCGACATGTCCAGGAAGGCGGTCTACGAATGTCCATCGGCAGTACGGCGCTCGGACTTCCTGGCGAAGTACCGCACCTTAGGCGAGATTAAGTTCCAGAGCCCGCTGTCCGCAGAGGTGCAGTACACGTTACGGGCGAAGCGGGACATCAGCCAGGAATGACGAAAGTTGTTTTACCTCATGGAAAGGGTTCGGAGTGTGAAAACAGAAGCACTTAATGGTAAGCATGAATGTAGGTCCAGTTGTTTTGGTGGTTCGATCTATGCGCTGGCCAGCCCCGAGTGTCCTACTACCTTGGTTCAGCTCAAGTCGGACGGCGGCAATTGAGTCGACCACTCATGAGGCTGCCTTCATCACTATCGGCGTGCAGGCGGCCCTCCCTGCCGCGAAGGAGGCGCTGGCATCCTCTCCCTTTCGAGTTGGCCACAGATTGCGCGGACAGCCTCGTGAGACCTGGTCTCCTCTCGGCGAGTTCGTCGACATTGCCTACCGCGCGGCAGATGAAGTCCAGTGCGTTCCCGCTTGCCCCATTGGGGCGTCTCCACGAAGATGGGGGCGATGAGACGCTCGCGACGCGCACTGTGCGCACTCTTCTGCCTTCGCAGGTTTCACTCACAGCCAATCCTAGTTCCAGTGCTGAGGAGGTGGTGGCATCACTTGCCGCTGCTTCGGAGGCGCCGTTTGCCCCCCGCGATCAGGGGCGCAGTATTCCACAGCTTTCGTCTCAAAACGTAGGCCGCCGATTATGTCCTATGGCAGCCCCGCCTGGGGCTCCGGTGCTTTTTTTTTTTGTCTCGAGGTTCGGGGCGTCACTTACAGTCTCTCCTTCTCTGCGTCGGTCTGCGCGCGGAACGCTAATGGGTTATTTGGGGGGATCCGTGGAGGTAATTCACATTGTGCTAAGAAATACAGGCATGCTCTTGGGCTCTGTTCGCGTTGCGACATTGTTTGCGTGCAGGAGTGTCATGGGCATATTGGGGATGTGGCTTCTTTGGTTCACCGACTTAAATCATCGCATGTAGGTTGTAGTTTTCTGCAGACGACGGCGGCAGGTGGTGTCATCACTATCCTCAGCAAGCGCCCGCGCAGTGAGTTCGAACCGATATCGCATCAGATCGCGGTGGATGGGAGGGTTCTCGTTGCACAGCTGCATGGGCGGAAGGGGCGATGACTGTTGCGAATTGTCACATGCCGAATATTAATTTAGGCGCGCCGTTCTATGGTCGCATGTCGCGTGCTCTTGCCATCCATTTACCGTGCGGCGCTCGCTCGCTTAACCCGATGGTTGGCGACTGGAAGTATACGCTGTGGGGGGAAGGGCGGATGACTGAAGATGGGCAGCAGTGGAGCGAGGGGGACCGGGCCTTTCGCGACTTCTTCCTGGACGTGTGCAGTGAGTGGATTGAGCACGCGCAGCTCGAGCCCACCCGACTCGGATGGAATGCTGACGCGACCTTGCGACACACCTCTCGTTTGGACAGGTTCTATTCGAACGCCCCTCGGCGATTCTTACGGATTTGACGGTTTCTGCGACGGTTTACGGGAAGCTTGATTCCTGCCCTTCGGACCATAGGCCTGCGGCGGTGACTCTTGGGACGTTCGATCCTCGGCAGTCTCGTTGCATTCCTGCGTGGATACGCCGCGCCCCCGAATACCAGGAGGCGGCCAGTTCGATGTTTACCTCCCCCCCCGCCGACCTTCCTCCGACGGCTCGGCTTGCGCTAGCCAAGGAAAGGATGCACAGTCTATTGCCGGCTGTAAGGAAGGCGATTCAGTGCCGGCCTGCGAAGGGCTTGGCCGAGCAGCATTACTGGGCGACGATGGCCATTCGAGGGGTTCGGCTACAGCAGTTTCGATTATGCGCGCGCGCCTTTACTCTCTACCCGCCAGTTGCACAGTTCTTTGATGTTGAGGGCACGCGCTGCCCCAACCCCCCTGCCCTTTGCCAGCATGCCAGCGAGCTTCAGTTGTGGGGGACTGAGATTGAGGAGCAGGAGCTGGAAGGGGATGATCACTCTGACGGCGTTTCCATCGCTGGCGGTCGCATCCACAGGACCGCTACGGATGATCCCCTGGAGGAGGAGGCTGCTAAGGAACGCGCTCGGAGCATGCTTCAGCGTGTCCGGCAGTTTTGGCAGCAATTTCGCGGGCGCGCGCTTCTGGTCGGCATCCGCGAGGAGAATGGTGGTGTCTGCAGGGATCCAGATGATGCTCGCCGCGCGCCCCGATCGACGGGTCTCTGTGGCCTGAGATACTTGCACACTGCCAGCATGTTCAGGATATTCCAGAAGATCGGCGCCCCCATTGGAAGATGAGCTTTGACCGTTTCGAGGAGAGGATTCGGTGGAGGAGGAGCGCTGCCCCTGGGAAGGACGGATTACCTTATGCTGCCTGGCAGGTGGATGAGGGGGCTAGGTTGCTTTACGATGTGTACGAAGAGCTGTATGAGAATGGTAGCAGTTCGATGCCAGATAACATGCGCGAGATGCTTCTCTTTTTCTTGCCGAAGGGCTCCTGCCCTGATGGTGCGGGTCACGGGGTGCTGAGGACGCCCGAGACCACTCGGCCCCTCGCCCTCTGTGACTCTGATGAGAAGGTTATGTCGATTGCCTTCGGTTCTCCCCTTGCTGACATGTCTGAGACCACAGTACATGCTGACCAACGTGGAGGGGTTAAGGGTAGGTCTATTGCATCGAATATTATGATAGCTGATCGGTGGGGGGTTCAACAGCACCATGGGGGAAGCCCGAACAGCCTCCAACTCTTGACGGATTTCGCTGCTGCTTTTCTGTCTTTGCACGGTGCTTGGATTGTGCAGGTGTTGACAGCAATGGGTGCGCCACAAGCGATTGTTGCATTTTTCAGTGCGCTGTTTACAAACAACCGTGGAACTCTTTTGTTTGGGGGGACGGTGACGGACTATCACATTGACATTGGGAGGGGAGTCCGGCAGGGAGATCCCGCTAGCATGTGCCTATTTGCGCTGGCATTGGACCCAGTTATGCGCTGGCTGCTCCATCGTTGTAGTCGACATATGGCTAGGTTGCTTGCGTACTGTGACGACTTAATTTTCTATTGGGAATGTTCTCTCTGGGCATGGACCTATCTTGCAGTTTCTGGGCTCTCTGGAAGGCCCATCGGGCTTCGGTTGAACCTGGCTAATTGTGTGTTCTCTTGGCGGTCGGGGATGCGACTTTAGAGGGGATTCGGACTCTGGTTGATTATCTTGGCCCTCGGTTCCACCAACTACAGATTACTCGTGTGGCGAAATATGTGGGAGTGATGATTGGTCCCGATGGTGCAGCTCACGCCTGGGATGCGCTGATCCCGCGGTTGCTTGACCGCGCACTTGATGTGCGTCGTGCAGGCCTGGGACTGGCTCTCAGTATACGTTCATTTCACACGCTGTGCTTCTCGCTGCTGCAGCATGTGCTGCAGTTCTATGGTCCGTCACGGTCCTTGCTCTCCGCGTATCGCCGATGTGCCCTGCTTC